GAAATGATCTGTTACAATGATATGCATTCAACTGTTACGTCGATTGCAAACTGAATTCTAGGATATAATGTCGATCCAGCATGTGTTCAATAATGTTGATACACACAAAATGATAATAATAGTGTAATGTAACATAATTTACGATAAAATTAATGTGAATATCATCTGTAGATTTTATAAACCATCAATACGTCAGCAACTCCATATAATTGTCTGCTATGTATAGGGCATTTCTACAGTGTCATCTCTAACTTATTTCACCCAAATTGATTTCGTAAGACCTGTATTTACAAGTAAAAATTTCCAACTATTTGAGCAAACACATGTTACAGTATTTTATTCCAGCGTTTACTAGTATCCTTGCATATAAATGATCGAAATGTTTAAACTACTTTGTAGATTGGCAGTAAATGCAATTTGTCCATCAATCAAACATACTCACAACAAACTTTTTCAAGATGTTTGTAAATTCCATGGCAGGCTGTCATAAACAAAAAAGAATTTTTGCAACACCATATCAAATATGCATCAGAGACTGGTCTCGTATTCACTGAACACTCTACACGAATTAATTCACCAATAGAACACGGACATAAAACAAACATAAATTGTGTTCCATGTCTACAATTATTTCTGGGTGTCATCTGTCAAGAATTTTAGATCTCTATCTTACCAACTTCCCATAATATCGTGAATTTTCTCGATTGATACAATCGGCTCAGTTCGCATTTTTTTATTTGCCATAATTAACCCAATGGGAGATCAATTTGAGTGTTATCTGTCTCAATAACAGTCAAAGTCACTTTAATGACCGGTTATTTGGTCAGCGAGTTCAAATTACTTGTAATAGTGTGCCACTACTTTTAACAATCAATATATTGGTAGCGCAGTTAGTATCTAATAAGGTGACACGTGTCAGAAATAAACATGCCAGTGCTGCTCTAATCTTTTGTTAATATCACTGCTCGTCCATTCTCGTGAGTGACTTTCTAATAACCATAGCCATAAACATATACACGCCTATCACATTGTCATCATCTAAGGCTATATTCTCCGTCATCATAAAACATATACGTTAACATTAATTGCATAATATTATGAATTATATTCTATATGATGATTGCGCCATTGTTATAGTAACAGTGTGCCAACACGCCCCTAACCATAAGCCATCACATTTAGTCACATGACTGTCATGTGCCAGTGCTAAACTTTATATAAGAAGTTCAAACTCATGGCCGTTGTTTGAGTTGGAATCTTGCAAACGGGAAAAAGATTTCAAATCAGCAAACAATTACCTTGCACACTACAGCAAAGACATTTATATGAACAATACTTCACGCATGCTACATGATACTGAAGAGACTAATGTATGTATTTGCCGGGAATAGTTCAGTCGTTAGAGGCTACTTTGATTAATGTTGTGGTTTGAGCTTGACCAGCCTTTTCGTGAAACAAAACAATATTGTTTGGAATTGCATTTCAAAGGCGTGGCGCATAAACGAAGTACACTAGAACGTCGATTATCCGTACTGTTTGGGGGACATTTTACTGAAAAAATTCTGCAGCTTTCGTTTTGCCTTGATATCGGATATCGTCGATTTACCAACACATAATACTCGGTAGATAGATTGCTTGCGGTTTCGCCACGTTCTAGTCGATTTATAATTGACACCTTCGCGTCCAAATCGAGCACACAGCGTTTGCGTTTCACTGGGGTAGCCATGCCAACGCTAGATAAAAGACGCTGATAAAGTAAACAGGTGAAAGGTCGCATCGTATTCGCTGTGTATAGATCAACTCGATGTTACCAGATTGCTCGTGGATTTTCGAATGGTAAACTGCTACAAGATGTCCCGATTTTATTGGATTCAGCAAAGTTTTTAACACCTAGAACGATTGACATAAATAAATTGTTGTAAAAATCTGTGATCACCGGACGTAAACACTTCGACGCTGTGAACCATCAAACGACCCGTCGA